AAAAAAATATTAAACAAATCTATAAGTGGTGGGACCCATTTTCCTCCTAAAATTGGGAGGAAATGGGGAGAAAAACGGAAGAAAAGCTGATTTATTTTTATTTTTTTCCGGTTACGTCCTTTCCTAGCGTTCTTTCTCTTTCTCTTCCCTACCCATCTCGTCTCTGCGCAAATCCACTCCCTCGCTCTCGCTTACCAACAGACCCATCATTGAATCTCTGCAAACCCATCTTCCATTTTCGTCGTTGCCTACCGTTCCCTTCGTTTCTCGGTCCATCTCGCCTCTGCCTCTACAAACCCACTCCCTCTCTCTCGCCGAATCCGTTACCAAAACAGCCCTTATGCTTTTTAATGGACACTAATGGTTTGAAGAAGAGTTTCAAATCTGCTTGTGGTGTTTTTTTTGGGGAGAAGTTTGTGTTTTGTTTGGTTATTTTCCGGGTTTGTGAAGGCTGAAACTCTTATCATAGGTCCAACGAATGATGGTGTTTGTAATCGTGGACCTCTATAATTAATGACAATTTCATGGCGAGTTCGTGATGCCGCCTATTTTTTCGAGGCGAGTTTGGGCACCTCCCCAACAAGCGAGTCTTTATTGTATGAATTACTAATGGAAAATGATATACGTGATCGGAGATGAGTTTTGGACGTTCAAGTTAATTTGCAGGTCTTAATATCAAATCAAGGGGAAAAAAAACTTAGACAAGATCGACGGTTGTGTTTAGACAATCTGTGTGCTAAAATGGATTTATTGTTTGAAAGGAGAAAACACACACACATGTATAGTTGACGCTCTTATTTATTTATTTATTATGATTATTATATAATTGTTTTTTTAATCTCTGTTCACAAGTGAGGGTTAAAGCAATTCTTGGCACAATTGTTCCAAATATTATGGAGATAAAGCTAAAAAAATCTTATTTAAAAAGCCAACTTTTGGATTTTTAATTGGAAACTCGTCGATGTGATTCTATAATGTGTTTATTTAATGTTATTATTGTAAATTCTGATTAATTTTTTCAATCAACTATAAATATCAAAAATAATTTTTATATTTATAATGTGAATAATTATGATTATAATAAAAATATAAAATATAATCCTAATGGCATTATAGTAAATATATAATAATTCATTTTCTTTCTTTTCTCTTTTTACAATTATCCAAACAAAGAAAATGTATTTTCTTTCTTTTTTTTTCATTTTTATCCAAACAATAAGTGAAAAATGATTTTCTTTCTCTTTCTTTTTTTTCTCTCACTTTATTTTTTTTTCTTTCCTCTCAATAGGAATTATCTAAACAAGGGATAAAGGTAATGAACTTTTTAACGCAATCTATGGTTAATGAGCACGTGCTTATCATAGTCAATACCATTTTTTTTAATTAAAAAAATTATTGTCGTTTTCGGGATTTGTTGTCTCATTATCCAAACATAATGTTGCTTTTTTTCAAAATTGCAAAATAGTCACTCTTATTGATATAGAAAAGAACCAACTAGTCGTGGTTCCCATAAAGAGAAAGAGAGGTCATAGAACGTGAGTATTGCCATAGCATTACAAGTAGGCATAGTACTCTTAGAAATTAACACGAAAAACAACATATAATAGTTTTTCCTTAATTAAAGCCTTTTGATTGAGATCACAATCTTAATCCTTATGTTGGTTTTCAAGTATTAGGCCTTAAAATTCACATGATTATTCAAAGAACAACTTTATTATTATTATTGTTATTATTTTGAAAATAATTAGTATTAACAAATACTCATGTTAGTATATGAGTGTTTTAGCAATTGAAATTAACATTTCAAAACCAAGAAAATATGGAAACTATAATTGTTTTTTTAAATAATTAGTTTGAATTAACATATACTCATATGAGTGTTTCGAGCAATTGAAATCAACATTTCAAATCCAAGAAAATATGAAAACTAACCCCTTGTTTGGATAGGGTAGAAAGTGGGGGAGATGAAAGAAAATAGGGAGGAAATGAAAATGTTTCTCCATTTGGTTTGCGAAGAAAGTCTGTGGAAAAAAAAATATTAAACAAATCTATAAGTGGTGGGACCCATTTTCCTCCTAAAATTGGGAGGAAATGGGGAGAAAAACGGAAGAAAACTGATTTATTTTTATTTTTTTCCGAGTTACGTCCTTTCCTAGCGTTCTTTCTCTTTCTCTTCCCTACCCATCTCGTCTCTCGCGCAAATCCACTCCCTCGCTCTCGCTTACCAACGACCCATCATTGAATCTCTCGCAAACCCATCTTCCATTTTCGTCGTTGCCTGCCGTTCCCTTCGTTTCTCGGTCCATCTCGCCTCTGCCTCTACAAACCCACTCCCTCTCTCTCGCCGAATCCGTTACCAAAACAGCCCTTATGCTTTTTAATGGACACTAATGGTTTGAAGAAGAGTTTCAAATCTGCTGTGGTGTTTTTTTTTGGGGAGAAGTTTGTGTTTTGTTTGGTTATTTTCCGGGTTTGTGAAGGTCGAAACTCTTATCATAGGTCCAACGAATGATGGTGTTTGTAACTCGTGGACCTCTATAATTAATGACAATTTCATGGCGATTCGTGATGCCGCCTATTTTTTCGGGCGAGTTTGTGCACCTCCCCAACAAGCGAGTCTTTATTGTATGAATTACTAATGGAAAATGATATACGTGATCGGAGATGAGTTTTGGACGTTCAAGTTAATTTGCGGGTCTTAATATCAAATCAAGGGGAAAAAAAACTTAGACAAGATCGACGGTTGTGTTTAGACAATCTGTGTGCTAAAATGGATTTATTGTTTGAAAGGAGAAAACACACACACATGTATAGTTGACGCTCTTATTTATTTATTTATTATGATTATTATATAATTGTTTTTTTAATCTCTGTTCACAAGTGAGGGTTAAAGCAATTCTTGGCACAATTGTTCCAAATATTATGGAGATAAAGCTAAAAAAATCTTATTTAAAAAGCCAACTTTTGGATTTTTAATTGGAAACCTCGCTGATGTGATTCTATAATGTGTTTATTTAATGTTATTATTGTAAATTCTGATTAATTTTTTCAATCAACTATAAATATCAAAAATAATTTTTATATTTATAATGTGAATAATTATGATTATAATAAAAATATAAAATATAATCCTAATGGCATTATAGTAAATATATAATAATTCATTTTCTTTCTTTTCTCTTTTTACAATTATCCAAACAAAGGAAATGTATTTTCTTTCTTTTTTTTTCATTTTTATCCAAACAATAAGTGAAAAATGATTTTCTTTCTCTTTCTTTTTTTTCTCTCACTTTATTTTTTTTTCTTTCCTCTCAATAGGAATTATCTAAACAAGGGATAAAGGTAATGAACTTTTTAACGCAATCTATGGTTAATGAGCACGTGCTTATCATAGTCAATACCATTTTTTTTAATTAAAAAAATTATTGTCGTTTTCAGGATTTGTTGTCTCATTTGAAGATCTGCTTTCGTATTAGTGGATCTTGTTTCCAATCCAGGCACTGTCATCAAAACATCTGCCACAGCGTCACAAACCCACAACTTGGGTCTGACAGGCCGGCCCCATAAAGATACTCAGGCAAGATTGGAGTTTACGATTTAGGCCGAAATAATAAATCAGACAATGACCTTACAACTTTAAAAATTGTCCTATCAAGCATTTGGGTTGGTAATGATAATGATAATGGTAATGATAATGGTAAGGTTTGTGTTTTTTTTTTTTTTTTTTTGTTTTTTAATTATTGCAAGGGGTATTGAGTTTAATTTTTTTTGAGTATTTAAGTTTTTAAAAACTTCATCATAAAAAAATAATTTTTTTTATTTTATATTAATAAATAATTTAATTTGTCATGATAATATGATTTTTTTAACTATTAATTAATAACGCTAACGTTTATATTATTTAATTACTATATAAAAGTTGCACGGTTTAATTTTTATAATAATTTTTTTTTAATGCAAATAAAAAACTTTGCAAATCCTTTATTTGTGAAAATGATTTATTTGGGAAGGTTGGCTTAATAGTTAAAATAGCAGTATAAAAAATAACTATACAGTACAATAATAATAATAATAAGTCTCACACTTGTTATTAGATAATTCTATAATTGGAAAATATTTATAGTATTAATGTTACAAAAATCAACAACAAAATTCTGTTGTTCTGAGACATAATTTATGAGAAAACAAAAACTAATTAAGGTGGTCCTCATTTTTCTTAGGTACCTACATGATATTATTTTTTATTTTTCTAATATATCAATGCATATGAGAATCTCGGATTTAACTATCTCTAGCTTTTGTTATTTTGTTTCGGATAAAATAGATAAAAGCATCAAACATGAGTTTTAATTTTTATTGACTATTAATTAATATTAGATTAATTTTAAGTGGTTAGTTAGAAGCTTTTTTTTTTTTTGGATTTAAATTTTAAACTCAATAGATTAAAAATTTTGTTAAATTATTCTGAATACAACGAAAGAATACGGAGATATATTCTTAAAATCGTATAGAGAAAAGGTCAATTATTTGCTGTTTCTCTTTTTAATTTCTCCCTGTTATTTCCAGCCACTGTTCACTTAAGCACGTTTATATTCACGTGGAGCATTTTCCATAAAGCAGAAGACCGTGTCTTATGGTATTTTAAAATAAAAAATGTCAAAATCTTTTCTTTCCCAGCCTCATGCATGCACAGTTAAAAACGTTTCAAATTTATCCATCCAAAATTATTCATTTAGCTGTTTAATATAAAGAAACCATCGTGTTGGGTCCCTAGCTAAGCTATTTTCTTTCGTGCTATATATATTTAGCTCATTCCTCCTTCAGCTTCTCATACTCAAAAGTCAAACCCATTCGCTACTAATAATCAGTTCTAGTATTTCCTCTCTCAAACTTTGTTTCCATTGCCTCTTCAAAAGCCCACATAGTTTACCAATTTTATTAACTTTCAAAAGGCTTTCATTTCTTGATCATCCAGTTCTATTTCTTGCTAGCTTGAAGATATGAAGGTTACGTCTAAGAAAAGATATGCTCTTTTACTAGCGGCAAGGGACTCTGACTATGTACAGAAAGTGTATGGAGGGTACTTCAATGTGTTCATTGCGGCTTTTGCTGAAGAAGGAGAAACGTGGGACTTGTTTAGGGTTGTTGAAGGGGAGTTTCCTGACATGAATGAGGTTCACAAATACGATGGCTTTGTTGTTAGTGGCAGCCCTTATGATGCCTATGGCCATGACTACTGGATTCTAAAGCTTTGCTTCCTCTTGCAAACTTTGGATGCCATGGAGAAGAAAGTTCTTGGGATTTGCTTTGGTCATCAGGTACTTAATTAGTTAGTATACCATATTGTTACTTGAACAAACTCTCAAATTAATTCCAAACTAGCAAAATAATAAAATAATAAAATCTTGAACTTGCTGGATTAATATGCATAGTTATGAGTTGAGTGCCTAATGGTGTCTTTTGTTGGTATGGTGTTGCTTACAGGTTTTGTGCAGAGCGTTGGGTGGAAAAGTTGGAAAAGCATATGCTGGGTGGGATATTGGACTAAGGAGAGTGAGTATAGTGAAGGATTTGTCACCGTGCAGCTTTCTGGTTGACTTGACTGAAATCCCACCTTCGCTGTCAATTATTGAGTGCCACCAAGATGAGGTATGGGAGGTGCCATTAGGAGCTGAAGTAATTGCATTCTCAGACAAAACTGGTGTGGAGATGTTCAACATTGGAGATCACATTTTGGGCATTCAAGGCCATCCTGAGTACACCAAGGACATTCTTTATAATCTTATCGATCGCCTTCTGAATAACAACTGCATAGAGGTAACTAAAAAATTAAGCACTTCATAATTTGTGGTACAATTTATGTTTTCAATTAGTTAACCCAATTTTTTATCTAACTTCATTAATTAACAAACTTCTGTTTCTAATTACTGACAAAAGTACTGAGTTTTTCAAATTTGATGACTGCAGAGTGCTTTTGCCGAAGATGCGAAGTCTGGATTAGAGATAGCTGAACCAGACAGAAAGTGCTGGGAAAAGATTTGCAGGAATTTTCTTAAGGGAAGATGTATAGTTTAACTTTCTTTTGATGTGAACTTGGTTTTACAGTTCTTGTTCTATCATTGTTTTCATAACACTAGCCCAAATTAAATTAGGTGGTTAGTTCATTAACATATGTCTTATAATTAATGTACGTACTTTTCTCGATAATTAATAAATCAAATATTTTGGTGAAGAAAGACCCACTCTTAAATCAGAACTGATGATCAACTTCAGATACTGTCTACTACGTTTTAAGATTCATCCAATAGACTTATTCGCATTTTGTGGTTGTGATGTTATCTTAGGTTCCCGTGAACAACATGCGCACCAAACCAATTAAGACAACCAAGAGGACCATTTGTATTATCCAAAAGCTCCTCTAAGGAGTTGCTCTAATGAAATGACAAGTAAAATATCCTTCAAGAAATGATAGCGGAAGCACAAAAGTAAAATACTCCTCTCATGAAATAAATTGAGCGGTTTGTTCCTCTCTTTTTATCTGTTTTTCCTCTTCCCTTTTTTTTTTTTAATGGATTTTTCATGGTGAAGTGGCCATAGGGGTGAGCACACCAATAATTCAAGTGACCCTTAGCTTTTTAGAATCGGGTAACTAAAATGATTGGGAGCAGAATTGTAATCCACTCCCATTCTAAACACTGTAGGGAATTCAATCTCATACTCTTGAAAAACTATATAATACCAGTTAATTTTGGCAACTAATTAGTTAGTTAACAATTACGCATACACTTTTAGAAGAGAACTGTAATTAATGTCAAAATTGATGCAAATTGCAAAGAGAATACGAACAAGGTTCTCAAAGATTTTAAATGAACAAAAAGTCCAGAGGAACCTTGGAATTTTCCGAAAGTAGGATGCATGGTCATTCGTGCATTACATCTCTCAACTTGTATTGTTACCCAAAAAAAAAAAAAAAAAAAACACAAACAACACACACTAAATGTATGGGATTTTTAATATTAGCAGACGGTTTACCCTCTCTTATTTTACTTTGGACTAACAAATTTATTTTTTTCCTTTGCATAATAAACGTCATTTCCTTTATTCTTAATTTATATCATCATCACTAAATAGATTTATAAAAATCCACAATTGTCATTTCCTTTTGATTTTATTCTTCATCTTTTTTCCATAATTTCTCTTTCTTTTTAGACATAGCATTTAATGCTCATGTCTTTCAATGTTTTTTCCCCTTACTTTGGCAAGAGGAGTTGGCTAGCTATTCACAAGTAACTTATAAATTAGTCCCTCTTGCTGCGAGCAATGAATTAATTAGACCTTTTGGTTTCACTAACTAATATTTTATTTCTTTTTGCTATTTTTCAAATTATTCTGACTTTTTTTTTAAGAAATAGAAAAAGAATAAAAAAATAAGAAAAAATTGATGACATAAGAAGACATTTTAGTAAAACAAATTATTTATAGTCAACACTCATTAAAATGATTAAATAATTATTTTTTGAAACCAAAAAGACTAATTAGTTTACTTGCTCAAAACAAGGAAGACTAATTTATAATTTATTTTACAATTCAAAGACCTCCTTTATCATTGTTTGTAGGTGATTTTTTTTGTTATAAATATCATCATAATTACGTATATCAAAAGAGTGCATTAAAAACATTATATTGGATATAAGAAACTAGATATGTCCTATAGATGTCCTTGAGAATAACAAGAGTATGTAATACCTATAAATAATAATAAAATTCAAAAGTGACTATGCACAAAACTAAAACAGTTAGTATAACTATTGGCTTATTAAAAATCCATACAAAATGATTTTATGAATACAATATGATGGTTGTATTTTTGTACCTAAAATTGTATAGTGGATACACTTTTATACTTTTCTTTAGAAAAACTACTTATTTGACGGTTGGATTTGTTTTCAAAGAAATTTTCTTGTTTTCTACATTGGATAGCAGTTTAAATATGTACACGGTTATATTGATTTTGTGTGCATTCTTTTATTTGTGCTATGTCTTGACCAAATATTCATGCAATAAAAGTAAATAAAAATTTCTATTATATTATTTATAAATAATTAAATATCAAAATTAATTTTGTAAGTTTTTTTTTTAATTATACACACACGTTTTTAAAAATTAATCTTCTCATCAATATTATAAAAAAATATTTTAAATCTTAAAATTTGTATGCAATCTTATAAAATAAATAATTAAATTTATATATGTTTTTTTTTTAGGATTTCGATGTCTTAGCAAAAAAAAAAAAAAAAAATCTAATCCATTTTACAATTTTAATTTTTAGAAAATTCAAAACATAAATTATACTTTACCGAGATCCAATTGATAAAATTACACTTTATAAGAACTAAAATTATATAGCCAAAGAGCATGACTACGGACAATAGAAATTTGTAGGGACCAAATTGGAACTTAGAGGACTAAAGTCGAGTGAAAGATCCGTCGTCTACTCCAACCCAAAAATTATTCCTAGGTTTGTTCCTCAATTTTTCCCTAGAGACAAATCCTCTCAAGTTTTTATTTTTTTGATTTTCATTCCCTTTGATTCTTAGTTGGCTTCCATATTAGCCAAGAATCACACCCTCTACTCTACTAATTCAATGTACTACACCTCAAAAAATTTTATAATACACAAGGAGTAACTAGTGGTATGTACGGTAGTTACTATTTAGACCCACTTTGAGGAGAGAGATAGATATATAAAAAAAGAGAGAAATTACATCCATACCCATCAAAAGTGATAAGAAGATTTCCATATCTACTCAAATTTTTTTATTTTCTCTCTCCTATTTTTCTCTCTTTTTTTGTGTGTCTATCTCTCTCCTCAAAGTGGGGCCCAATGAGTAACTACCGTACATGCCACTAGTTACTCCTTGTGTATTATAAAATTTCTCACTACACCTCTACCCATAAGACCACATTGCACACACTGTAATTCATTTTCATGTTTTGGTGATAAAATGTTAATTTTAGATTTAACAGTTGGTAATCTAAGATAACTCGGGTTGATCTTAGGGTGAGAAATGGATAAATTTTTGCCTATAAATTGGAGGAAACAGAAAACGAGAGGGAGGTTCTTTTTTAGGAAAAAAGGAATTACAGAAAGAAAGAGAGAATTTTATTTCGAGAGAAAAAAAAGGATCTTCTAGGAATTCTAGAGATTAAAAAAAAAAAAACAATTTTGAAGGATTGGACTTCGGGTTTCAAAAGGGCATTACTTGGTTTCTTTTCTAGGTATTTATGGGCTTCAAAGATTTTTAGGTTTGTTTAAGATAGTTTTTGGGTTCAAAGTTTACTAGATTTGGACGAAGAATAGTTGGTTGAAGGAAGCATAAGTCACTCCCCTTCACTTGCCATAGTTCCATTCTCGATTGACTAATCCGGGTAACTTCCTTATTCCTCCCTTGTCATTTCAATACAAATTATCAACCTCCCGTATCTGGCTTGTTCAAGAACTAACGATGGCAATGGCTTAGCTTATGCCATCAAACAACATGCAACCCTCCCACTTTCTTTATACTTAAAGGAATAAATCAAAAGAATAAAAAGATTCCAAGTTTTTTCTAGGTTAGGGAGAACGAAAGATGAACTAGTTTAAGAGAGAGAGAGAGACTCGGTATTTCGGGTTTGATTTTGAGAGGAAGAAGGAAAAAAAGGTTCATAAGATGAGATTGTTTCGATCTAAATAGGGATTTATTGGCTTCAAAAGTGGAGGAGATGATCGAAAGGGAAAAGCCTTTTAGGTTTCTTTTTGGTGAATGAGAGAAGAGAAATGAGTGAGAGAAAAGGAGAAAAGTAATGTTTGATCGAAATGAGGGGAAAGGAAAGAATTAAAACATGTTTGTGGGTTTTGGTTTTGATCTAGAGAAAGATTATGGGTTGGGCTAAGCCTAACTCATAAGGAATAAAGCTTGGGCTAGTCTCAGCCCAACCTAGACTCGAGAAGAAAAAGGAAAGGGATGGTCGATTGGTATGGGCCTAGCCTAAAAGGTCGATGGCCTCTTGACCCAAAAAATACACAATGTTTTAATTTCATTTTTTTAGATAAAATTACCATGAATGTTTTTATTTCTATATGTTTACCTCTTGTTTACTTTAAATTTTAATGTTCTAAATCTCTTGAAATTTATTTTAGTTAATTTTAGTCTTAGCTAATTTTACTTTTAGAATTTTTTTTTCAATAATTAGTTTAAGTAATTAATATGTGGATGAATCGTCGAGTCTCCTAATTTTTAACTATTGATGGTGATTCCTCCATCAAAGGAAAAAAAAAAAAAGAAGATAAAAATGATAAAAAAAAAAAGGAAGGCATATTAGTTAATTTTAATTTTAGAATTTTGTTTCAATAATTAGATTAGTAGTTAAGAAGTAGGCAAATTGTTGAGTTTCTTAATTCTTAGGGATTGATGACAATTCCTTATTGATAAAAAAAAAAAATTATAAACAAAGCTTCCTACCCGATAAGGACTATTATTAACGGAAAATAATTAAATAAAAAAATTAATTAAAATTCTTAATGAAGTCTCATATCTAATAGGGACTCTCATTGATAAAAAAATAATAAAACTTTTTAACGAAGTCTCTTATCCGATAGGATTATCGCTAATGAAAAAATAACAAAAATTACTAAAAATACTTAATGAAGTCTCCTATTTGATAGGGATTGTCGTTAATAAAAAAAAATGTATAATAAAATTTCTAGCAAAGTTTTCTATTTGATAGGGATTATCGTTAATAACAAAATAAGAAAACAACAAAAAATAAAATTCTTAGCAAAGTCTCTTTTTGGCTTATATGATAGGGACTATTGTTAATCAAAAATAAATAAAAATTAATCAAAATGTTTAACAAAATCTTATATCTAATAAGGATTGTTATTAGAAAAAAAAATCATCATTTAATAATCAAGATGTTCTCTAACACACTAGTTGTGTAAAGACTTAAAGTGGATCTAACGTGCTCTAACACACTAGTTATGTAGAGACTTAAAGTGGATCCGATGTTTAAATCGATGTGTCTCCCTATGAAGG